GTTTTAAGTTTTAAAATTCGTCAAAAATAATCCCCCTTTCATTTGGTCTTGTTATTTGAGTCAAAATCTGTTTTCTTTGAGTCTTTTGAGTCAAGTTAAGGTTTATTTTCGTCCAAAACACTTGTTAGGTCTAAAATTGAGTCTTTTTGAGTGTTTGTCGCTGTTTTGAGTGTTTTAAGTTAGTTTAGAGTCTATAGAGTCTAGTTTAGTGTTTTTGAGTCTTAATTGTGTTGATTAGCATCCCTTCTAATCCCCGGCCTAAAACGATCCCTACTTTCATATACTACAATCATAGGGTTTTAATTTGAGTGTTAGAATATTTCACATCAGCCACCTTCGTCTCCAATCTGCAACAAGCCATTTTCACCTTCATCAATCTGCAACAAGCATCTTCGTCTTCTCCGATCTACAACAAGCCATCTTCGTCTGAGATTTAACAAGCTCTAGGGCCACAGCCAAGATCTGGGAGTTTGAATTAGTAATTACCTTGTTGGGTGGTCAACAGCCGAGATCTGATAGTCCAGCAACTTCAACAAGAGCTCAAGGGCGGCGCAGTCGTGGTGGTCGTGAGGCAGTGATGGTCTGGGTGACTGATGTCAAGAACTCGACGCAAGCTCAAGTGTGAATGAATGAAAAATGGGAGATTGATGAAAGTCTCTAATATAAGGGGATAAAAATGTTGGAGAGTTGGATTTAATTAAAGCATATAAAAATGCTCTAAGATGAGGGCTACGTATTGGTTCCAGAGACCTTTTGGAGGGCCTCCCAAATCTGGTCGAATTTGTTGGGCGACCTTGTAAGTTGAGGGCCACGGTGTTGCTTTAATCCAATTCATTATCCCATGCTACAAATGGGTCAGGCCAGGGGCCCGTTCCTTCTTATTCTCACCCCGCTAATTTCGTAAACCCGCCCCACTCCGTCTCGTTTTGTGTTTCAAATTTTTGGAGTCGTCCCGAACCGCATGTACTCGCCCTGACCCGCGGGTCTAGGACCTATGCCCACCCCTACCCTTCTTGTGCATATCCTTGAACATTTGGTATTCTATAGTAAGGTGAACTACTATATTCACCTCAGTGAAAATTAGGTCCCTAAACTATTTTTTTCAAAAAAATTAGTCATTGACTTATAAAAATCTATCAATTACATCCCTTATATTATATTTGAAGCTACTATATTCAATTTTCTAAGTCACGTTACTTGCATATAATACACATTGAATGGTAGATTGGTAGTTTTTCATAAAGAAATAATGTATAAAGTTAACTTTGGAGGGTAAATTAGTAATTTTCCATAAGAAATATTGTAAGTTAACTTCAAAGGGGAAATTAGACGTTAGAATTGCAACCTATATGAAATGTTAAAAGCTTATAGGTGAGAAAATGACAGTATTAGACTCTAAAGGGTGTCAAGTGACCTAAGTTGACAAAAAATAGGATAAAATAACTTTGAATATAATAATAGGGACGAAATCAGTAATTTTTAATGAATTTAGGGACTTATTTTACCTTAAAAATAATTCAGGGACCTAATTTTCATTTAGGTGATAATTTAGGGACTAAATTGGCACTTCACCCTTTATAATAATGTACTAATATTTTTTCATTAGGCACTTATTTTGGAGCATGTAATACTTCAAAGACAAATGTTTTTTTTTTTTTTTTTAATGTTTGGAAGTAATATTTATGTGACAATATGATATGCATATACTAATTTAATATTATGTTTACCATTTTTTGGGGACAAATTATGTTTTTCATTTTCATTATTTATTGATTTAAAATATATTTTCTTTAACAGGTAACAGGTTGGGTCATATTACCCGTTTACTTTAACGGGTGTTACATGACACGATCTATTAAGATATCGGGTATGTCACGAAAATGACACGAACAAGAAAAACATAACACAAATGATAGGTCTAGTCACCCTTATCTCTCTACCATTCCTTTCCTTTTTTTTCATTTGCTTTCTCTTCTTGGCAACCCAGAATGAAAAAATTAAGGGTAAATTACATTTACTATCTCAACTTTTAGTCATATAACAAACACATACCTCATCTTTTGAATATTGCAATGTCTTATCCCAACTACGAATTTGTTGCAATGTTAGACCTCTGGTAAAAAGCTGTCAATTCATCTATTAATTGATGACGTGATACGCATGGGGCCCACTCCCTAACCCAACTAGATAGAAATTTAAAAAAAAAATTAATTAATTAAGATTTTATTTTTCCCATTAATTAAGCTAAAGAAGAAGAAGAAGAAGAAGCAGCTGGAGCTCTCTTTCTGTTGCATTAGTGGTTAACTTTCCAAATCTGTTTTCAAATTTTCCACTCAAGCTTCTAATGCTGAAGAAGAAAAAGAAGGAGAAGAAGAAGCTCGTACGACAATGGAAGTCTCTTTCGAATTTTTCACCTTCCAAATCGATTTCATTCTTTTCAACATAACTCACCGCAAATACAAACCTATATCAAAATTGGTAACTACTTCTCAATCCAACACCAAATTCGAGTGACTAAAGTGGTCACTTTCCCAACTTTAGTTAACTATATACTTTGCTGATTGGATGAAGAGATGGAAAATTCCAAAACTTTAAAGAAAAATTCACCTGAAACATCATCAATATCGAATATGAAGCAGAGAAATGAGGAGAAATCCCTAGAACGCTAAAACCCAATATTGAATTAGAGTTGTAAAATCTGAAAAGATTTAAGCAACGGAAGGCTTGAGGAGCTCCTGATTGATGGTGCTGAGAATCCTAATATAGTAATTGGACCTAGTGGTAGAGCCCATAATCTCGTTGTTCTGATCGACCATCTCCATGAACTGCCCGATGACGAGCGACACCAATTGGATCCCGTTGGCCTCCTCTTATGCGCGAAGCAGCTCCCCTCTTTAGATTCTTCATCTCGTCCTTGACGTACTCTTCCTGGATGTCAATCGGCGACTAATGGTCACCACAACCCAACCCTCATGTGCTTCAGGCGCGACTGAGGGAGGCAGAATAATCGAGGAAGATGACACCTCGAAACCACATCGTTGCTATCTCCAGCTCAGGTTGTTGGACAACCTAGTGCCTCTTGACTGCTCCTCATCAATTAACAATTTCATAAGTATGACGTGATCATATTTGAAAAATGAGGTATGCGATTGTGATGGAATCCCAATTTGAGGGTGTAAAATGTAGTTTACTCAAAAATCAACTTGGCCACCAAATCCACTTCTCGAACACCTTCATATCTCCTTGCCACTGATACAATTGCGAACGCCCCATCCTCAAACACCCTTTTTGTGAAAAACCCAGATCAGAATTCAATCTTTCCAGTTGGATTTAGAGAAATGCCAAGAATTTAGGATGGGTTTTCCGAGAAAATGGGAGATTTTGATCAGACGATCGACCCGTTTGAAACCAATTCGTCAGGCAAGTAGGAAATTTCCAGCATCAAGTTGATTTAGGCGACGAGGTCTATTTGCGCGAGGTGTCAGAGTTCGGGACAAGGGTGATTTAGGCGTCGAGGCGTCGCAGACGATGTAGGAGAGACTGGGTTTGCGGGACTGCCTGCCTGTAACAATCACATGTCTACATTAATATGTGATCCAATCCAGTCCAGTAAAATTTAATGAGACCAAACAAACGTGCCCTAGATGTTCTTGCATACCCTCTCAGGACCCATAGTAGTGCTCAAAGCCTGTCGCCTTCATTCTTCCACTAATTAAAATTCTACAAATTACAAGTTAGAATTCTTATATTTGAATTTCGTGGATCACAAGTTCGAAAACAAATTTATTCTCCTATAGTCCTTGATCATTGTATACAAAAAAATCTTTGGAACTTGTACATATTATGCGTTTCATATTTGACTACTTGTACATCAAAATTATCCACAAAGAATGTAGGAAAGCTTGTAATAGATACTATGAGAATTGTTGTGGCACTCCAAAATCTTATTTTGCACTCCACACTTTCTATAATTCGAAAGAAATACACTTATGAGGAGTATAGAATGAGATTTTTGGAATGTCAATATAATTCCTAGATAATATATATGTTCTCATTTCATATTGACAACCATGGAGAGCTAATGGAGGCAAATGCCCCCAATCCCACTAATTTATTATTTTGAAAGAAAAAAAGCTACATGTAATATTACATGGCTAAAGACTAGTTTGGTATTGTACGTAGTGCTTATGGTTAAGGGTTGGTTTGGAATTATAGTGCTTTTAAAAATAAAATAAAAACAATAGTTTATTAAAATATCTAGAACATCAAATGTGTTTGGTAGAACAAAAGAAAAAAGTTAAAATAAAAAATAAAAAATAAACATTTTTATTAAAAGCATGGTAGATCTTGCCTCTGCTTATCTATGTTTTTCTATTATTATTGACAACAGTTTTTTTTTTTAATTTTTTTTTTAATTTTTTTTAATTTTTAATTTTTATTTTTAAACATAGTAATCAGTGTTCATTTATTGAAATTTTCAAATGACAAGTATGCCTTAACATATTTTACAAAATTATAATCTTTGCCCCTACATTATTCTCTTTGGCAATTATTATATCACATTGAATACCAAATCTTTTTTAGTCACTTAACATATTCACAACAATTTATATAAAAGTTTATCAAACACTTGGGCATTATTTTTATTTTTTTGTTAAAAGCACTTTTGCAAAAAATAATAATAATAATAAAAGAAAAATATTTCCAAACACTCAACAACTTTATTTTACAACTGGTTATTCTCACATCACATTAGAAACAATTTTATAAAAGCCACAACAATACCAACTAACCCTAAGTAATACAACCCAATTAAAAGCACTTCAATGAAAAAAAAATCTTGTTAATATTGACAACACCCCACTTAGGTTTAATTATTAACTCACATACAAAGACCTGAAAGAAATTACAAAATGGTTGTGAAATTAGATGAGAGATCAAATATAAATGATAATATCATGGTCACATACAAAGGTAACCATATTTGATAATATTTAATCTAGACAACCGAGTAGTCCGATTTTTAAACATATGTAATTTTAATGTTACATTATTGCTTGAAGATGCCCCTTTCAACATAATTTTTGGCTTTGTCCCTGCTGACAGCCAATTTATATGCACTTATACAAGACTTCCCTTTTAGCTAGAAGACCATATATACGTCCAATATTATATTAAAATTGAAACACATCCAATATATCTTAAATTAAACATCGATAGCTAGTATGGCCTCTCACCAATATAATTCCCCAGAGGATCATAATTACAAGTCATAAACACATCTCCATCGTCACACACAACCCTAGCACACCCGAGTCTCGTCGTAGTCTTCCACACAATTTGAGTATAATGTCCGCACATTTGACCAGCCTCGCACGTGTTCGTCATGTAACTGTAGTACTTCTCTTCAGCAGCCCATGTCTTCACTGCGTCGCTTGGAGTCCATGTCGAGCCGCTGCCCCAGTATATGTTTTCTCCTAGTTTGAACCCGTCTTCCGGGAACGAATGCTGCAATTTGCAATCGGATTTTCTCTGACCTGCCCACCACCTAGCATATTTCTCGAGTTGGAAGTCCCACATGAATGGCATCTCCCACTTTGCTGCCCTCACCAAATTGTGTTGGAACAAAAATTCTAAGGACTCTCCTATGCAACCCCAGCATAGTTGTTTTGAGACCCTCCAGACGGTCTCGTTGTTCGGCTTTTGTTCATGTGCAGAAGTAGCTGAGCCGACGTCAGTAAGGTAGAGAGCCAAGAGGATAAAGAGGAATTGTGCCTTCATTTCTTTCAGTTATCTTAGACTCTCCTAGGAATTTCTCGCTTGTGACACTGCTACTATATAATAAACTTGGAGGAGACGGAGGATGAAGAGCCACGCGCATTAGGGTTTGTGTGGGGCACAATCGATCTTATTTGTTGGTGGATAGAAGAATTTGGGTACTGATCATTGGAAGGTGTTGTAGAAGCAGCATGGTGGGACGTGGTGAAATATTATGGTTTTGTTTGCATGTCGTATGTACTATATATAATCTGGTATGATTGAAGCTGCTCTCGTGAATGGCTATATTATGCCCGTGAGGTCTGTGTTGTTTTATTAGACGACATTGCGCCCACCATGGACCTCTCTAGAACATGTTACGTGGCACAAAATACAAGCTCTAGGTAACGTTAGGCTAATGAACACTGAATAAATATATATGGTCCATTCATGTCTTAAGTTTTTCTCTAAATAAAGTTCTATCATTAACACGGGATGTAATTGTGAGAATGAACTCAAACCTCTCCAAATCATGACCGATGAGCATGTGTGGTATGTAACACATTTTTGGGATATCAAATGAGTTTGTTTGTGTTAATTTTTTATGTTGTAACATTTTTTTTTTTTTTTAATTCCTAGTCTCTGCATTTACCATTTGTGCATTTAGACAAATTTTAATCATTCGCCTAATCTAATGGAATCCAATCCTCCCCGTCAGATTTGGATTAAAATCGCCTTCGTACAATATCGTATCCTTCTCCCTGTCATCTCCTTCTCCCATTCCCTTCTCTCTCGTTGTCTTCCCCACTCTTCTGCAAAATCACAAAAAGCATTTGTCATGGCTGTGTGGTTTATTGTGCAATACCCAACTATATATACTTTTCTTTCATCAAGGCACAAGGCCATATGGTTTCAGCTTTCTTAGGCCAAAACTTTTTGGGGTGATGGCTAACATCAATAATCCCTTCCCATGCAAGCCAGTTGAAGAACAAGATTGATAAAATAAAAATATAAAAACAATCAAAGAACGGTTGTACGCCTATTTGACTGAACTGTATAAAGGACATAGAGGGAGAGGGGCCGGCGGCAACAGAGAGAGATTTAATTATGAGGTGTGTGTTGTATCACCCCCTTACCCCCTTATGCCTTCATTTATGGTAGTAGGATAGGTAGAATCCTTACCCTTTTAGATATGCATTTCTTAATAGGTAACCAACTCCTAATAGGAATAAACTAGATACTCCTAAATATATGAGGATTTACACAATCACATTCCTAATCCGATAGGACTGCAACACTCTCCCTTGAGTGTATAAATACTCAAACAAAACGTCGCATCAGATCTTCAACAGATGAGGTAGAACAGTTGATGAAGTCATCGACACAAAGGGTGAACGCGAGTCTTAAATGCAAGTAAGTAAGTATGCATTGGTAGTAAAACTCACAAAACCTCGCTATGGTAAAACCCATAGACTAAGGAGAAAGATGAGAAGTATGCACAATGTCTAAAACAAACATCAAACAAGAGAAAGTAGTGAACTCAACGAAGTATGATCATCCCAGGAGGGATACCTCATCAAAACCTCATTAGGTAGCAAAAACCCAGTGGGACAAATGCTCCTAATCATAGGAAAAAGAGTACATTAAGATCAAGTGAGTATGCTTCAGGATACTCCCCCTGAGTTAGACATAACTTACAAATAAGAGAACTACAAGCGATTCAATTCAGATAATTTAAGCATACTGATTCCTTGGACGAGCTTCTGAAAAGTAGACTTGGGCAATGACTTCGTGAAAAGGTCAACCAGGTTGTCCTGGGAATGAGTTTGCTTGACTTCAATGTTCTGATGATATTGTTGCTGGTGACAATAAAAGAACTTCGACACTATGTGCTGGGTGTGGTCTCTCTTGATGTATCTCTTCTTTAACTGCTTGATACATGCTGCATTGTCTTCAAAGATCGTCGTAGGAAGGTCAATGACGAAAGTAAGACCACTAGTGTTTCGAATATGTTCCATAACTGCCCTCAACCAAAAATACTCTTGCGAGCCTTCATGCAGGGCAAAAATCTCAGCATGTTTCAAAAAAGTCGCAACTAGTGTTTGCTTGGTAGACCTCCAAGATATAGCGGTGTCTCCAACAGTAAAGACATAACCTGTTTAAGAACGTGCCCTATGTGGGCCAGACAAATAACCAGCATCTACGTAACCAACGAGGCGAGAATCAACCCGAGGACCGAGGGGGCGACGACTCCTCTTGAGGATTCATGGGTGTAGAACAAGCCTAAATCTGTCGTACCCTTGAGGTAGCGAAAAATGTCTTTAAAACCATTCCAGTGTCTGTGTGTAGGAGCGTTGCTGTATCTAGCCAAAAGATTAACAGCGAAGGAGATGTCGGGTCTAGTACATTGAGCCAAGTAAATGAAGCACCAATTGCACTTAGGTATGGAACTTCAGGCTCCAAAATCTCTTCCTTATCTTCCTTCGGACGGAAGGGATCTTGTTTAGCATTTACAGTTCGAAGGACCACATGAGTACTCGAAGGCTTCACTTTATCCTCATTAAAACATTGTAACACCTTCTGGGTGTAGTTCAATTGATGTACTAGGATTTCATTCGAACAATACTCAATCATCAGGCCGAGACAATATCGAGTTTTCCCAAGATCCTTCATCCCAAATTTCGATTTCAAGTGCGGTAATTTCCTCAAGCTTTGCGGGAGTTCCAATGAGGTTCATGTCGTCGACATAAACTACAACAATCGCAAATCTGGAATGTGACTTCTTAATGAACACGCATAAGCACAGTTCGTTGTTCACATAACCCTGAGTTGTCAAATATTCACTCAAACGGTTATACCACTTCCGCCCGGATTGTTCAATCCGTAGAGTGACATCCTCAATCTAATTGAGATAGTGTTTTGTGGTCTAGAACTATTTGAACCAGTCAATGGAAGTCTTTCTGGAACTTTCATGTAGATTTTCGTATCTAGATCCCCATAAAGAGACGCGGTTACCACGTCCATAAACTGCATATTCAGTTTTTCAGAAACTACCAAACTGATAAGGTAGTAGAACGTTATAACGTCCATTCCAGGGGAATACGTCTCCTCGTAATCAATCCCAAGGTCTAGGGAGAAGCCTTGCGGTACTAGGCGTGCTTTGTACTGTACTATTTCATTCTTCTCATTACGTTTCCTCACAAAAACCTACTTGTAGCCCACGGGCTTCACATGTGGTGGACTATGAGCTATAGGCCCAAACACCTTTAGTTTCGCTAGCGAATTGAGTTTGACTTGGATTGCTTGTTTCTAGTTTAACCAATCCGTTGTACATCGACATTCATCAACGGAGCGTGGTTCAATGTCATCGCTAAGCATGATATCAGAAGCAATGGTATATGCGAATGCATCATCGACTATCATCTCATTCCGATTCCAAACCTCATTGAAACTGCGTAATGGATCAAAATTTCACGATTCTCGGGAGGCCAGGTTGTCTCGTCTAAGACATCATAATAATCTAGAATAACTTCATTCATTGGAACAGATGAGTAAGCAATGGTTGGATTCAAACTAGGGTTACTAGCTTGTGCCGTTTTTCTTTTTCGAGGTTGTGAATCCTTTAAACTAGGAAGCCTGCCACGCTTCAAGTTAGGAGCAGGTGATTGGCTAGCTGCCATTGTACCATGTCGTGTGGAAGGTGCAGCCACCCCACCTTTAGGGTTGTTTCGGCCTTCCACAACGATTGTTCGGCGTACATTAAGTATGTACATCCTTGCAAATGCGTTTGTAGCAAGTATATGTGATCTCATCACCTTTGCTAGATCAATAAAAGCATCTAGCATGCTTTGAGCAATGCTTTAAAGATCTAAAATGTGTCGTTCTTCAATTTTAGACTGAAGGGTGTGGGGATCTAAATGAGACATAGCGGAAGTAATCCCCGACCATTCGCGCCGTTCTACAAGAACATTAGTGATCTTATCTCCCCTTAACAAAGGGAAGACTGTATTATCGAAGTGACAATCTGCCAAACGTGCAGTAAAGAGATCTCCTGTCAAGGGCTCTAAGTAGCGTATAATCGATGGCAAATCATAACTGACATAGATTCCCATTTTTCTCTGAGGAACCATTTTGGCATGTAGTGGCAGCGTTATTGGCACATAGACTACTCACCCAAACACACGTAAATGCGAGACATCAGACTCATATCCAGTAACCAACTGTAACGATGAATGAGGTTGGGTAGTGGTGAGCCTTAGGCAGACAAACATAGCTGCGTGTAATATTGCATAGCCCAGGTAGATACCAGTAAATTGGTTCGCATAACCAAAGTCCAAGCGATCGTTTGAAGGTGCTTCATGAAAGCTTCTGCTACGCCGTTTTGGGTGTGAACATGAGGTATAAGATGTTCAACTTCAATCCCAACAGACATGCAATAATCATCAAAGGTCTGTGACGTAAACTCTCCAGCATTATCCAGTCAAATCGACTTGATTGGATAATCAGGATGGTGAGCCCTAAGCTTAATAATTTATGCTAAGAGTTTCGCATATGTTGCATTGCATGTGGACAACAAACAGATATGTGACCATTGTGTCGATGCATCAACCAACACCATGAGGTATCTAAATGGTTCGCATGTTGGTTGGAATTGTCTACAAATATGCCCTTGAATCCTCTAAAGAAATTTAGGGGGGTCATGAATAATCTTTGTAATTGAAGGTTGCATGTTCAACTTCTCCAGTAAACATGCTTTGCAAAGCGGATGGCCAGGATAAGATTTCAAGTGATGCCTATGATATACTTTAAGGATACGGTGCATCATAGCTCATTTGGGTGTCCTATTCAATCATGCCAAAGCTGCAAAGTGTCCTGGCCAGCACTAGGACCGGCCACATGATGTGTCTTAGGGGCTCGAATGGTTGTTATGTACAACCCACTTGAGAGACGTTCCAGCTTCTTGTGAATAAGCTTCTAGCCGTATTCAAGTGATACAAAGAAATTTAGAACCATTCTCTTCAGTGGTTTCAACACGATATTGATTATCTCGAATATCT